TGACATCACTTGAGATTTTATTATTATGTAATAAATGCTGACATTGTGGAAAGTCACAGCTTGTCTGTTTCTGACATAGCTCACTCACAGCAAGGAGCTTAAACATGACAGAAATAAACCTTAGGTCACTATATCAGGGAGGAAACCTAATTAGCTAGGGTGATAATCAAAGTAAAGATAGATATATTGAAGGGAAAGTCTCATTACCAGGTGCTTTTGACAGTAACTTCTGCATTTTCTTATTGTCACATATAATAGGTATTTTAAATTTCTTCCATTCCCTTGTTTTATATATAAATGACCATTTGATGTAATTTGCAAGGTATCAGTAAGAGAAAATGGTGAAAACACACAGACATATGTGAAGGTCCTGTCCCTGGCACTGGACATAATAAATACAATGGCTGCATTTATACACGAGCATATTGCAGGTTTTATTTTGAAAGGAAGGTGATGTGTGGAAACTATCAACCAAGAGTAAATTTGTCCTTTTTGGTTGCTTAATATTCAGTCATTTATCTCAAAAGAAATGACAGATGCTGCTTTCAATTATGTTAGTTTAATAAGAAGATTAGACACATGGCCTAATTTTGGCCAACTGGTCTCAGAACCTTGAGCCTATCTTACAAGGATAACACATGGCAGAATGCATTCATTTATCTCCTCCTGCCCAGGCTACTCCCAATATCAATAGTCCCTTTGTTAGCTCTTAGGCCAGAATTTATAGTTCAGCTTATGAGGGAAGAATCTGCTTATTTCTGTATTTTCAGATAGGCCCTCCAGAGAAAACATAAGGAACAGGTTAACCCTGTTCCTTATCACTCAGCCCCTTCCTAGTGACCTAAACTTTGCTCCTTATAATGCTAAATTCAGTCTGAAAACATTGCTGTCCATCCTTTTGGAACATGTAATGTACAATGCATGGTCTCAACCTGTTTGCACACAATGACAGGTCTCTCCAGTATAAAAATGCATAAGCTTCTCCAATGAAAGTTCCTTATCAGAAGAAAGTCAGGATAAAATACATACTAAGGATATTATTTCCAATTGGTAAATAGTGATATTCTTTTTTAGTTTTACAAGTTTTATAAGCAAATTGATGCTTTTTTGTTGTGTTTTGTTTTGGGTTGTTTTGGGGGGTGCTGTCCCTGAGCTCTTCAGCTCAAGGCAAGCACTCTATCACTTGAACCACACTGCTACTTCTGGTTTGCTGGTGGTTAGTTGGAGATAAGAGTCTCACAGATGTTCCTGCCAGAGCTGGTTTTGAACGACAATCCTCAGATCTCAGCCGCCTGAGTAGCTTGGATTATAGACATGAGCCACCAGTGCCCGGCTCCCCCTGATTTTACTATCTACCTTATATGTGTATTTTTTTTCCTTAACAGTTTTAAAATGGAAAGAAGTCTAATTCTCTCTCACTTGGACTACATTTTTTTATTGTAAAATTCTTGATGTCTTTTTGATAAGAACATGAAGTAGGTCATTGTTTTGAAATTTTAAGAAAATCTACACAAGTGACTTACAAAGGTCATTCATGTCTCCTTGGTCCAGGGAAACCCTGCTTTGGGAGTTATCCCTAGTGTTCTGTTTATCTGATGTAATAAATGCTTTTTTTCACTTTTTTATCTATGGTATGTGATTGGCTTTGTAATCAAGAAGCTAACTTGTGACATGATGTTGAAAATGAACTATACAACTTCTGGGTGGGAATGGGAGGGAAAAACTGTATGAGGGAAGGGTGAAATTGTTCAAAAAGAAATGTAACCTTTACCTGACTTATGTAACTGTAAACCCTCTGTATATCACCTTTAAAATATTTTTTTAATTTAAAAATGAAAATAAAAAATAATAGAAACCATCTTGCCATGTTTATAACTGCTTTCCCTTCTTGATCTTTTTGGGGGTCCTAGTATCTGTTTTAAAAGCTACTGGTTATCATTCAAATAAATTTTACTTTCTTAATTAGATGATTTCTGTTGCTTGCAACATAAGACACTAGTGACATAATCATGAAGCCAAACTGAATTGAAAAACACAGAAATTCTTTTTTGTGTGTTGGTCCTGGTCTTGGGGCTTGAACAGGACCTGGATACTGCTTGAGCTTTTATGCTCAAGGCTAATGCTGTACCAGTTGAGCCACAGATCTGCTTCTGGCTTTTTTGGTGGCTATTTGGAGATAAAATTCTCAGTTTCTTCCCTAGTTGGATTCAGACTAGGATACCCAAATCTTAGCCTCCTGAGTAGCTAGGATTATAGGCATGAGCTACCAGTGCCCAGCTATGGTTGATCACTTTTATAGGTCCCAGGAAGAGGAAAGTAACTGTACCCAGCTAGAAGTCTCTTTATATCTGATTTACCAGAAAGCTTTCTTACCTTCTTAAAGAATCCACTTTTGGTATAGGATATTATCCTTGTCTTTTGTATTGATTTCTAATGATTTTGTATTTAGGTTTTGGATTTCCAATCTCTCAGTTGTGCACGTGAGGCCAAAGAAGTGGTAATGCTGCTGACTTTCCTAATAATTTGATTTACATTCTTAGCTCATTAGTGTTCAACTTTGTGTCTTGATAAATATACTTGAAATTATAAGATTATCCTAAGTGTTTAACCAAGGTTCTACAAATTCTGGCATGTTGTGTTTTCACTTTGATATTTTTTTGGGGGTAGGGGGGAGAGGGAATGGCAGTTCTGCTTGAATTCAGGGCCTGGACGCTGTCCCTGAGTTTTTTGTTTTTTTGCTTAAGGCCAGTGCTCTACGACTTGAGCAATAGCTCCAGTTCTGGTGTCACACTGTCTTGCCTAGTCTGGCTTTGAGCTATGATCCTCGGATCTCAGCCTCCTGAATAGCTAGGATTATAGAAGTGAGCAGTCTGCACCTGGTTAAATGTTTTAAAAAATCATTCTTCCCATTTAACGATAAGAAACAGAAAGACTTCCCTCTTAAATAACAACATCAGAACAACAGCATTAGACATTGGTAGGAACCCTTAAGACATATATTTAGATACAGCCACACCCATTACTCTAAACATTTTCAGATTATTTATGTTTGAAGCAGTAATTAGTAATTCCCAACCACACAGAATTTTTTTTAAGTCAAAAGTCACTTTAAGAGCCCTCATTTGCTTAGTAACAGCATTTAGCAAGGAAGCAAGCACATTACACATATTTATCTCCCACTAAGCCTGAATATATTCTTTAAAAAATTGTTTTCTAATGCAAGTTTCCTATGGCTAGGGAAAACAGCCATGCAAACTGTTCATCTTCCTAAAACAGGTGACTTTCTAAACATTAAAGAAATTTAATGAGAGGGGAATAATTAAGGCTTAATTACAGAAGTGGTGCTATGGCTCAAGCACTCGCCTTGAGCTGAAGAGTGCACAAGGACAGCGCCCAAGCCCAGAGTTCAAGCCCCACGACCAAAAAAAAAAGGCTTTATTACTATGAAAATGACAACAAAAACCCCAAACATTGTAGTTATAAATCATAAACAGGAAAATTCTAAAACTATAATTATATACATCATATAGTTCTACTACATACATGTGTATATGACAAAATATCAACATATCTTTTGTATGTTGGTAAATTGTTGTGTTTGTGTGCCAGTCCTGTGCTTGAACTTAGGGCCTGGATGCTCTGAACTTCTTTTGCTCAAGGCTAGTGATCTACCAGTTGATCTACAGCTCTACTTCTGGGATTTTGGTAGTTAATTTGAGATAGGAGTCTCACAGACTTTCCTGTCCAGGCTGGCTTCAAACTGCAACTCTCAGATCTCAACCTCCAGAGTAGCCAGGATTAAACATCAGCAAGTGGCTCAAGTAACTAATTTTTGTTATTAAAAATGAGCAAACTCAAAAAAATTAAAACCCCGAAAGGAAACCCTCAAGAACTCAACAAGTCAATTAGTAAATGGACTAAAGGCTTACAGAAAGAATTCAGAGGAAGTAAGATTGCCCAATAGACACATGAAGTGATGTTCAACATCCCTGGCCATGAAAGAAATGAAAATCAAGACAAAATTGAGATTCCACCTCACCCCAGTTAGAATGGCCATTATCAAGAAAACTAACAGTAACAAATGTTGGCAGGGATGCTGCCAAAAGGGAATGCTACTATACTACTGGTGGGAAAGTAAACTTGTTCAACCATTCTGGAATGTAGTATGGAAGTTCCTCAAAAGACTAAACATAAAGCTTCCCCATGATCCAGCAATTCCACTCCTGGGCATTTATCCAATAGACCACAAACAAGGCCACATAAGAGCTACCAGAACCACATGCTCATTGTTTATCATAGCCAAGATATGAAATCAACCCAGATTCCCCTCAGTAGAGGAATGAATTAAGAAAATGTGGTATGAAATTCTATTCGTCCATCTTAAGAATGATATTGTCACATTTGGAAGAAAATGGAGAGATTTGGAAAAAATTACATTAAGTGAAGTAAGCCAGACTCAAAGAAGCATAGGTTACATAGCTTCCCTCATTTGTGGTAACTACAATGTGCCTATAAATTTACAAGTAAACACACTGATGGTTTAAAAAAAATACACTGGGGCATGATAAATAATGCTGGTCTCTAGACATTAACACAGTGAGACCAAAGAAGGATATTCACGGGACCAGATCACAAAGGCTCAGTAGCTATGTGCATGTGATCATATAAAATAATATTTCATGAAATGAACTCCAAGAAAAGGAAACAAGGAATTTTTGTTGCTGTTATTCCTGTTTTTGTTGTCTTTTCCTTTTGTCTTGTTTGTCTTTGGTAGGTAAGGGGGGACAAAGAAAAGATGGAACAAAGACTGAACAAATAGATTAGTTGTATTCACTAGTTACCATGTGGAAAATGCAACTACACATCCTGTGAATGGGGACGAGTGTCTCTTCCTTACCTAACCCATGTAAGTGTAACTGTAACCCCTCTGTGTATCACCCATGCAATCTCAATATTTTTTAAAAAATGAGTTCAGGCATTTTTATGTACAAAAATTTCATTTATTAAAACAAAATAATGCAACTTTTGTGAAGTAACCATAAATACATCAAATATTTCAAAATGTGGAAAAGAGAATAGTTTACAGCCTCAAATTTCTCAATATTTAAATGACTTAAATAATTTACCTTTTCAGTGATTTTTATTGTCAAAAAAATAAATTTACTTAATTTTAAACCTAGCCAATGTGCTTGTGTTTTATAAAGACAAAGTACTTAGTAAAATGGCTAGTTTGTACCAGCTAAGAAATAGCACTTACAGTTGTCTAGATGTAATCATTTTAAAAAACATAAATTCATCATGTAGTAGGAAAATATGCAAAACACATAAGAAATTATAGCCCGTAAGAATATAAATGCACCTTCTAGTGATTATGAGTATCAAAACTACCCTGATTTTGAAAAAGTAGCTTCTTTAAAATCGCATTGTAGGCATTGTTTTGAAAATGTTATAAATAAGAAATATTATCTTGATTAAACAGCAACATCAGCATTTCTTAGCAAAAATGTAGTATTTACATGGAAAGGTAGGCATATCTTATATTCAAGTTTTCAAGTTTGATCACCATTAAAATGTTCTCTACAACTGATAAAAACTACACATAGAAAAGTAAAATGATGAGGTACAATATACTTTGAAGGAATTATTTGAAACAACACTTAAATATCCTCAATGCCTAGACTATAGAAGAATGCTTTTAAAGGTCTTCCATCATGACTATGACATGCATCTCTGCTTCTTAGTCTTCTCAGTTATCAGTAGGCAGTGATCATCTTTTCTGTTGTTAATGAACAATCACCACTCTGCCAACAACATTGTTCCAGTGTGGATTTACAGAAGGCACCATGCCACAGTAAGAGCAGCTACAACACCATTCAAAATTGCCATGCTATAGCCCATGTGGAAAGAATGTCCAGTCAACTTCCTAGAAAGAAAAATAAATAAATTTAAAATAAAGTAACATATACTCTCGTTAAAAAAGTTTTCATAAAAAATTACACATTAATATGCAAGTAACATGAGAATACCAGGGTTAGTGGTAGATAGTGTGAAAAACTTTCCTGGTTAACAAATACAGTTAAACTTTATTAAAGTAAAATGCTAGATTTGGCTTGATATTTTCTTTTCCTTTTTACTGTTTCTATGTGTAGCCATAACATAAAAGTTTGTTATATGTTCTTGCATGAATTAACATTGTTTCTATGCTCTGCTTCTTATTCTCACATAGATATATCTAAAAATACATATTTATTCAAGTATCTATCCTCTTCGTATCATTTTTAATCTGTGTTAAAAAAATGTAAAGAAACCTTTTCTTGTCACACATTCCATGAGAATGGTTCAGAGTAACTCTTTAAAGATATTTTAGTTCTCTAAACCTAACAGAAACTTACATAAGTGGTTTTCAACAAGTTCCCAAGTATCAGCAAAGATACACCTCTTATTTATAATTATTATGAGTTCCAACTAGCTTAAGAAATTTATATGTACAGATTATCCTTGACATTTGTTTCTTTTATAACAATTTCAATACTTTTGCTTTTTCCTAAATACAGTATCGCAAGTTTTTTTTTGTACTTAGTAAGGATAAGACATACTAAAAAGACAAGTGTCCAACTTGTTTGAAGAGAAACAAAGTCCTCTCTTCATTGCAACACACAATTGAAGACTGATAGGAAGGTGCATCAACAGAAGTTAGTTATGAAAGTAATAAGGATCTTGGACAGGGAAGCTCAGCATATCCAGATCCTTTCCTCCTAACTTAGGAACTCAGGCATGACAGTGAAACACTCTACAACCATGATGATAGGCTTTTTTGTTTTAGTTATTTTTCAGAGAGAGTCTAGCTTAGGCCTATTTCAAACCATGCTCTACCTATTATGACTCCTTATCTGGCTGAGATTAAAGGGCATGTATCACAGACACAGCCTTTCCTCTTTTTGTTTAAGAGAGGCCAAACTCAAGACAGTACATCAGATCCTTAGTATTTGCAGGTATATGATTCCAAGAAGATCATCCCTGAGTAAAAGCCATGAATACCATGGGCATGTAGAGTTCATTACTACTGTAGATGCCTTTATCCATTTTTTCTACCGCAATAACCCTCTTACCTTGCTATTTGGGCATCACTTGCTTTCTGAGGTGCATATTTTCAAAAAATTAAGGGCAGGGAAAACACTTAGCATATCACACAAAGATTTAAACACAACAAGCACAGTGCAACTAAGTTCTTCCCTGCATCTACTGATCTACAAAATGAGTGTGGAAATTTAAAATTTTTTTTGGCAGTACTGGGTTTTGAACTCAAGACCCTGTGTTGGCTAAGAAAGCACTATACCACTTGAGATATACTTCTAGCATGCCTGTTCTTTCCAGGTACCTAAGAACACTGTCAGATTAATTTGCTTCTGTGTTAAATGGATGTAAAAGTAAGTGAGAAGAGTAAAAGATACTGTCAACAAAGTAAAAATTTTTCTTTTTTTGGGGGGGCGGGGAGAAGATCTTTTTATTATTATTATTTTTTATTGTGAAAATACTGTACAGAGGGGTTACAATTACATGGGCAAGATAATGAGTACATTTCTTATCAAGCATTGTAGCCTCCTCCTTTGTTTCCCCTTCCCATCCCTTCCCATCCTCCCACCGTCTTCCCCACCCATTCCTCCTCGCTCCCCCCCACTTAAAATTTTTTCTAATGAAACAAATTTTGATGTAAGTTTTAAAAGATAAGCCAATAGACTGATATACAAGAAGCACTGTGATGTAAAGAAGAAAGGTCAGAACAAGAAGCAGGACTCACACTGAAGAATTCAGACAAGATCAGATAAACCGAAGGCCCCTTCTAGGTGTAAATTCTATTCTTTTCTAGGTGACAGAGGCTGAATAAGTAAAAACACTGCAAAGAGACCTACATGCTTCTATAAAGTTTGTTTTTACTTCCATACTATGTATATTTAAGTTGGAACAATGATGCAGGAAAAGTACAACTATGTAACTATTTTAGTCTCAAAGAATCAATCAAAGAGAGGGACTGATATAATTTAAACTAATTACTTAAACTAGCAATTCAAAATTTTAGAACTAAATAAATAAAAATAATAAATAGATAATTTAATGCAAAAGTAAAATGTTTCCTAAGTAAAAATTAGGTTTAAATTAAGTTCTTTTTTACTTCAATACATTTCTGAAATCAAAATGCAAGTAAACAAGAAACATCTCTCAATAAGAGTAAAATACCCCTGGAAATTTATCTATAACTTTAGTTACAAAGGAAAGTTCATTAAAATACAACTATTTCTGTCTTAGAAAATGAGTTATACAAAAGACACTACATCTTATTCTCCTTCCAGTGAAATCCTTTGTAATAATAAAAGACACATGGCAATGAAGTGCTTAGATAGTCCTTGTTAGTGCTTAAGAGCACAAGGTCTATAGTTAGAGCTGGGTTTGGGTGCCAACTTTGTTACTTGCAAGGGGTATAAGAGGTAGAAAATTGATCTTTTAAACCTTCATTTCTTCCTCTAAAATGGCAATAAAAATCGAACTTACCCTTGCAAGTTGTAAAAATCAGGGATCTAGCACACAGCAAATGACCAATAATGTTAGGGACATGGTATTAAAAAAAAAAAAAAGACAGCTTAGCTACAGAAGAGATTTTTTTAAAAAAAATTCTTGAGTACTTCACTTCTCCAGTCCTTCCAAGAAAAACACTTAAACACAATCCCATCTCCAAACAAAAGAACCAAAAAAAACAACAACACAGTAACAGCAAATAAACCCTAGAGTTTATAAAAGACAAGTTTCTGTATGTTTATGTATGATTTTGCTATTACTCTTTTCCTACTTGTTCAGGCATTTCTCTCAGTAGAGAACATAAACTTCTTCTATGTACGGCCAGATTTCATAACTGTAGAATTTCTAGCAATACATTTCTATTAATATGTAACAGTTAACTTCTTAAGTGAACATAAAAAAAGACATATCTTTACTTTTTTTTCATTTTTTAGGACTGGAATACATTTGAAATTTAAATAAATAATTATATTCTTATTTTTAAGTGGCAATGTAATGTGCCAAATAAGCAACTGCCAAGTGTTCCAAATATATTGTCTTTTGTCTTGTTCTTCAACATGCAGGACAAAAAGTTCAAGCCAGGTTTCTTTTTGTTTTGGGCTGTTTTTACATTAGCCTTCCAATTGATCTGAACTGAATGTCTGTGAGCACAGTGATATACTAGATTCTATATTCACTTAGAATCGTCATTCAATATTTATTTTCATTCCTTTACATGTGTTCTTACATATCACACATGCTTAAACAACATAATTCAAGTTATTCAAAATAGTAACTTCAAGGCCAGATGCTGGAGGCTCATGCATGTAATCCAAGCTACTCAGAAAGTGGAGATCTGAGTACTGCGGTTTGAAGCTAGCCTGGGCAGCAAAGACCATGAAACTCTTATTTCCAATTAGCCATGAAAAAAGCTGAAAGTAGAGTTGTGGCTCAAGTAATAGAGCAATGGCCTTGAGCAAAAAAACTGGCTATTTGTTTCTTGTATGACTAACTCAGCAGAAGGTACAATAAACCAGTTGGTGTTAACCTACTTCTTCAGACATCTAGACTGCCTTTTATTTCTCATTCAATTCTAAACCAAGGAATCTCCTGTTCTAAGGAAGTTCATGCTGTGTAAGTTTTGGTTGTTGGCCTAACTATATCAATTAGTTCTTTATTTAGAATCAGAGGTTCTCAACCCAAACCTGAAAACAAAAGCAACATTATATTCAGTTACACTAGGCTTTATCTTCAGGTTCTCAATCTTGGGATTTAGCCAAACTCGAGTTAAAAAAATAACTGGGGAAAAATTGTGTACTGAACATGTATAAACTTTTTCCTTGCCCTTTTCCCCTAAATAATGCAGTTTAACAACTTTGTCACAGGAACACCAATCTCAATTATTATCTTTTGGACAAAGAAGTAAAAATCTTCAGCAAGCAACAGGAAATCTCCAGCAAGCAATAAAAATCAAGGAAGGTTCTCAGAAAAGAGGCCCAAAATAACCTAGTAGGAAGGAAAGACAGGATGGATTTTAATAAAATAGAAAGAAAAACATTTCAAAAAGGAAGAAAACAAACTATTTTAAACAATAAATTGAAAAACAAAGATTAAACTTCACAGAAAATTAAATTTCATATAAGTTTTCAGTGAACTCAAGAAAAAATTATAGTGTAGTAGGTGACTGCACTAATACCCACCCAAAAAAGTGAGAAAGGGATACAATCATTAAAGTTGTGGCACAGACAAGGATTAGTTCTTATTTCACTGAATTTTCCTGAAAACCAATGAGAGAGAATGAATAAAGGTACATCTAGTTGGGTGAAGTGGTGTATTAACTTATGGTCTATTTCACCTACATGGCAGTCCATTCAGTTATAAAGACTGTCAGATATGTTCACATTACTTCACTGGTGTTTCATGGTAGAAAAATGTCTGACAACAACACTGGATAATTGAATTACACATGAAAACCCTTATTCACTAGGAAATCAAGATAAATACTATAAAAGTTAAAGAATGGATTTCCTAAGTCTTAAATTTTTATGAGTCTAAAGTTTAAAACACTTCTTTGAACGTAGTATATGAAATAGTACTAAATACCACTATCATCTATTACCTATTTTTAATAAAAGGGTACACAAATATCAAAGAATAAAAAGAAAAAAAACATAAACTCTGAGGCTAAAGATAACAGATAACCCATGGTAGGCCTGGATCAGACTTCTGCCTTGAAAAAGAAATCTCGAGAAAAGGTCAGGGGGATTACAGGAAGAGGAGGAGGAAAAGAAGAAAGAAGAGGAGGGTGGAGAGGAAAGAATGGGAAGGAAAAGCAGAGAAGAAGAAAAAAAGAAGGTCTGCCTTATCACATGA